TGAGCTCAGTACCTTTCAATACTAGAATGCAAGTATATGCATCTAGCCATTCTAGAATCATGTGAAACACGCGTCTTGTATTCTATTACAAGCTATATACTAAACTTTATATTGAGACAAACCACTCCGGGTGTGTTGTGATAGGGACCATTCAATTGTAAACCTTATCATCAACAAAGTGAAATTACAAAATCTTATTAAATGATACACACCCATATATATGAATTCACATTAGATATCGAAAACATGTCTTACTGAATAAAGGTATGTGGTAATAATGAGAGGGATATACATTATTGTTTGTCTATAGCTAATACTATGTTGTTTATTCCTTATGTTGACAAATATTGGTAGTGTGTCACACCAATGAGAAGTTAAAAACCTTACAACAGAAGATTGTGAAGATCAAATTGAAGTGAACAAGAGTATAAGCATAGAGTGAATATAATAGCAACAGAATCGAAAGAATCATGAAGCATGTAGACGACGGCCGATGCAGGATGTGCAGTTAATGTGTTTAATGTGTAGTTTTTTATATTTTACAATGGCTCTCTGTAATTGTTCGTTAAACAATAAATTGATCTTCTCCAACTTAGTTTACGATCACCATAATACAATTGATATTTCCTATTGGAAAAGTCAGTTTCCAGTCTGAAATCCACATTAATTCAGGGAACGAAATAAACACTAAGAACTACTCAACAGTGCTAAAAGGATTATTTCTCTTATTGTTTTTTCTTATTTACTTACTTACGCCTGTTACTCCCAATGGAGCATAGGCCGCCGACCAACTTTCTCCAACCCACTCTGTCCTGGGCCTTCTTCTCTAGTTCTTTCCAGTTCTTGTTCATTCTTCTCATGTCTGTCTCTATTTCTCGGCGTAATGTGTTCTTTGGTCTTCCTCTTCTCCTCTGGAATTCAGGATTCCATATGAGAGCTTGTCTTGTTACGCAATTGGGTGATTTCCTCAATGTGTGCTCAATCCACTTCCAGCGATTTTTCCTGATTTCTTCCTCCACTGGAATCTGGTTTATTGTCTCCCACAGTAACTTGTTGCTGACAGTGTCTGGCCATCAGGTCCGAAGTCGACTCGCTTCTGAATTTTAATAGTTGATATAATGAATCACTTGAAGTTAGACTACGATGGAAAATCTGGAAGCGCTGGACGGCCGTTTCGTCCTATTGTGGTACTCCTCAGCAGTGCGCATCTACGATCGCAACTCGCGAGATTCGAACCCAGGACCTATCAGTTTCGCACGCGAGCGCTTAACCACTGAGCCGGCCAGCATCCAACGATGTTAATGTCTAACTTCAACCGATCCACGAAATTGAGCGACACATCCAGGAATGTCCTCAGTGAGTTATTATCTCACAATATTTCAGTTTACCGTAGTTAAGTAAGCTATATGCTTGATTAATTAGGTTGTTGCAATCCATATGATATTCACCATCCAAATTTTTTTGTTGACCTGAGTAACTTGTCACGGTGTGGTTTTGTGGTAGTCACCACTGAGGTTTACCATCTTATATTCCAGTATTGTATACAAACTTGACCAATATTTTCAAACATTGTAATCATCTGATGCATGGTGCCAGGGAGTCTTGAAAAATTAGGACGAAACAACTATTCAGCATCGTTTAATTTGCATTAGTTATCTTATATTACTCACTTTCTTCGTACAAGTTTATGTACCCTGGCTTAAGCCACATCTCATTTATGAAGGCTAATGAAACCATCAACTGAAGTCAGTGTGGTGAGACTCAAACGTATGGCTTAGTGTCTGAAATTGCAATGTCTTAACTACTTAGCCACCGATCAACTGTGCATTCAAGAGAGCATCAAGAATCGAAACCCTAGTCTTCAGATAAGCGCTAAATTTTCAGACTCCTGATTTATTGGCTTTCTAGGAGTGGCACATTATAATACTTAATAATGGTTTACAGTTCCATAATTTGTTTATTTATTTGAACATATAAATATTGGTACAAGGGGGCACCAGATATATATGCGCCACACAAAAAATTGTCATTTCATTTCACTGTGTGAGGACTATGATACTGCCCCGATGCCTAGACCGAAGCAGGTGGTTTTCATAGCGAGCCACACCCGGAGCCTTCCACCTAAAGGTCTGATCCACAAGGCAGTGGAGCACTGTAAGGAGATGCAGTCTCATGGTAGCCGGTGACCGACGATTGGTTTATACGCCATTTGTCCCCTCAGGATACTGGAGCCCATGCACACCATTGGTTTGAAATTAAGGTTTTCCAACTCCCCTAGATGGACTCGTCGTTTCCACCAACCCGGTTCAAGCGCCGGACATTCGCTTTTCGTCCTCTTAATTTTGTAAACAACACCCCTGACACGAGAAGGCAGTGAGTAGGACTTTCCTGGCAGAGGCTGTATACGCGTGGCCTTGTGAGAGCATTTTGAGAGAGAGGACGGGCCCTCCTCACTCTCGGCAGTGAGATATCTTAGTTGTGCAATTATGGAGGTTGATGAACTGTTGCACATTATATTCTTAGATTTATGTAAGACGTAATAAAGAATTTTAAATCCCATGTAGCCAATAATTTTCACTTCAGATGAATTAATTAAAAGATTCTGAAAAGAGGATTTTTGTTGTGTATTGGCGATGTAAATAGTAAAGTAACTGAAGTGAGCAAAACCTAATGAAAAATTGACTACAGAAATTTATTCAACCAAAATGAAAATCTAAGGTAGAGGGGAATGGAGGCATTGATTATTAATTAAAGACTACAGCATATATATATATAGGCAGTTATAAAGACCAACATAGTGAACTCGTGTGTTGTGACCTTAGTTAGATAAGTAATCCGATTTCACATTGTAACTTTGATTTAGCATACAATCTGCATATATTGTGTGAAATGTCATGCCCATGAGTCGGGTAAGGATATAAGTAACATTTATAAATAAATAGAATAAGTAACAAGTGGTTCACATGTAAACTGGAATATGTCCAATCAAAGGTCATCCGGAATTCGACCAATTCAGTGAAGCGAAAGTAATATATAGCGTTCTGGGTGACGACTAAAATCAAAAATGTAAAGCTGAACGCTTACATAAGAAGCCTAAAAATTGGTTCTACGACTTCAAGAAACAAAAGATATTGTCTTTATAACTAATGATTTCCCTACCATTTTCATGAGTATAGAAACACACAATAATAGTAGACAGTTATGCGAAAGATAGACTTCAGTGGTGGGACGATACTAGTGGATTGAGTTTTACTGTGTTCTTTCTTATAAATTTTCAAATGGTATCTAAGAGAATCAATAGCATTTGATTTAATTAATATTTATTTTAACAAAGAGCCACCGAATACCTATGCATCACAAAAATCACTTGCTTTGTATATGGGCTGTTATACTGCTCGGCTGCCCGAACCCAAGCGGGTGGTTTTCATAGCGGGCCACACCCAGAGCCTTTCACCTAAAGATATGACCTACAAGGCAGTGAAACAACGTTAGGAAACGCAGTCTCATCGTATCCGGTAACCAACAATTGGTTTATACACCATTTGTTCCCTCACAATACTGGAGCCCATGCACACCATTGGTTTGAAATTAAGGTTTTCCAACTCCCCTAGGTGGATCCTCCATATCCACCAACTCGGTTAAAACGCTGGACATTCGCTTTTCTTCCTCTCAATTTCGTAAACAACACCGGTGCTGCGAGAAGGCAGTGAGTAGAACTTCCCTGGCAGTAGGATACAAAACTCGAGTTTAATCCTGGTTGGGACTCATTACGTCAGGTCACTTAAACTGTTCAACAATTGATCGTAGTAATCGCATGGACATCAACCAAGTAGTCTGTAACAAATCACAACGCTATTCGACAGTCAAAACTTTCGTGGACTTATGCTACGTCTTCGTTTGGTTAACTCCAGTTTTCCTCCAACCTACTATTCCATATCGGCCAATACAGTTCGTAAAAGAAGTGATGGTTAGTATACATAATACATATCTCAACTGTCCCAGTCGAAGAGGATTCATGACTACATAAACCAATATGTAATCTTTGCCTAGTACCCAGCCCCAAAACCTCAGTATTACTCGATAATTTTAACATATGCAAGTAATACTTCGAAGTTACTTATGGTCAAATAATGGTAACCTGTGAATATTCCGCATATTTAAAGACTATGCAAAGCAAAATGAGCTATTTTCTAGTGTATTCAACCTTATGTTAACAGAAGGACATCGTATCTATGCCACAAGACCTAATACATCGTCAAATCAATGAATTATTAGAAATCGATTGAAATTGACTATGAAAAAACAATACACAACAGTTTTATTTTGTAGACTATCTTTCTGACAATCATTCACCAAGTTGGATTGTTAATACATAATCGTTACACGTGTTACTATCTATAAAAGCATGAAAACAAACTAATTAGTAGAGTTGGTTCACAATTTATGCTTGAATGAACCATATATCACAACCTTTTAATAGTTAAACGAAATGATTGTACATCAAAATATACTTGGATTTACAGTAAGTATGAATTTAAAAAAACAAACTAAGCCAGATAATAATGAGCTTCGGTCAGTCAGTCACAACGTAGAACTTCGTTCGGACGTACATCAGTTCGAGTTGCCATACCACATTAGCACAGAGATGAAGTTGTCGATTTAAATCCCATAGTGGTAGAAGTAGGAGGAGTATAAGCAATAATGTGAAAGATTAGGGTTTGAAGATGTTATTGAAGGAGTATAATCCAGTGAAATAAATTTGGAAAGAGAAAAAAGATAGAGACATGGAGAATTCAGAAGATTAGAATTTGGTAGAACACAAAGAGTGGATGCACCTTCGCCGTTGCAAACGATTTCGAGCCATGTCATTCAAGGTCTCTAACTATCGATTGCTATCATCTCGCGGATATCAACCAGGTAGTATACAACTACCAACATGGCTCAGTCCAATTGTCAATGACTTCATGGATTTATGCCATGTTTTGGTCTGGCCGCCCCTAGCTTTCTTCCAACCTACTCCTACATCATAAAACATTGCACGTCGGGGCAGTCCATAGTTGGACATACGTAACACATGCTCCAGCCATCTTAACTGATGAGATTTCACTAATGAGCTTCATTTTTACAATGGTACATCATTTGTACACACAAAAAGTGAAGAAGAAAAAAACAAAACATAATTCTAGTATTTATTCAGTACAAATAATTAAACTGATAAACGATTTATGAATTGAAGTTACGTTGTTGAAAATATTAAATTAAGTAGTCTGATGCTGAAACATTAATTAATCAAACATTTTGACATTTAAAATGAATAAAAATTTTATTTACATTGAGCATTGAACCAAAAGTCTACTAACAGAACTATACAAATTATATAAAACAAAAATGAAATTGAGCAACAATTAACTTGTTTATGTATCAGTTTTCTTGTCACCTATCATAAATTGAGCTTTTAAACGAGCATTTAATTGTTCCCAATTCTGTGTTAATAACCACTGAGTATGATTTATAGAGGATGTCAAAGTTTGATTTAATAAACCATTGGAACTACTAGATAGATACAATTTGCGTGATTGACTATTAAACCCGGTAGGATCGATATCGTAACTAGTACCAGTAACACTATTACTTTTATTAAAAGGATTTGAACGTTTAGAAAATAATGAGGATTTAACAGTTGAAGTAGTTGAATTATTATTATTATTATTATTTCCAATTAATGTAGATGATGATGATGGTGATTTCTGATTTGTATTTGTTTGCTTTACCGTAGTCAGTGCTTTGTAGTGATCCTCTAAATCTTCAAGAGTCAAAGTAATAAATTCAATACTACATCTACTGATAGCACGCATCCAATCCTTGGAAAAGGATAAAGTGTACAAAATAAGAAAACATATTGAAATAGAGCAAATGTAAATAAATCAACACACAAAAATGAAGATGACGACTATTTATTTGCACACAACTACCAAGTGTAAACTACCATTAGTGAATTCACTTAGTATTGTTTGTTTGGATCTTCCCATCGATGTGTTTAGGACTGCAACTGGTCAGTCTCTAATTGGCATATGTGCATACTGTGCGTATTGCCTCGATATACCTTAATTCACAAGCATGGTAAGCAGAGATGGATAGTGGCTAGCAGTGGAATCCAGGACGCACGTTTCGTCCTATTTGGGACTCGTCAGCTGGATGTACCTGCATCTCAGAGTTGATGTTCACTCTGGGACTCGAACCCAGTACACTCGCTTCAAACGCCATCGCGTTATTCACTCGGCCACTGAGTCCTGATAGCCACTTGCTTGTGCGATGGCCGAGTGGATAACGCGATGGCGTTTGAAGCGAGTGTACTGGGTTCGAGTCCCAGAGTGAACATCAACTCTGAGATGCAGGTACATCCAGCTGACGAGTCCCAAATAGGACGAAACGCGCGTCCTGGATTCCACTGCTAGCCACTATCCATCTCTGCTTACCATTAGTGAGTTTATTTTGATGAATATACTATGGATAACGATTTCCTGGTTTCATTATTTGAATTCCTATATTCTAGTGCTTTAAATTCACTGTGGACACAGAAACTGTAAACCTTACAATCACCCCACACTTAACTCTCGTGTTATAAACAGAGGTAGATAGTGTCCAATAGTGGAATCTAATATTCGCGTTTAGTCCTAGTTGGGACTCATCACTTAAATTTACCTACATTCCAGAGTTGATATTCACTCAGATGCTTAAATCCAGTACTGTTCGCTTCAAACATAATCGCGTCATTCACTTAGCTACTAAGTCCAGATAGCCAATGGCTTGCGAAGGGGAGGTGAAGTCTAATTCATTTGTATTAGTTGTTTTATATCTTTCCATTGATGTTTAGGACTGCAAAGGATCAGTCTCTTGGATGAAAGCATATGCAGCTAAAAAAAACCCAGATAGGATGAAACGCGCATTATAGATTTCACTACTAGCCGCCATTCATCTATGCTTATAATGCTAGTGACTTAATGGCAACATATGGATAATCCGCACAGGATGCATATGTGCTAAAAGAAACTGAGCAATTGCAATCCTGAAGATCAATAGAAAGGTTCAGACGACCAATACAAATGAATTAAACTAACATGTTAATCACCTAGTTTTCGTTCATTACCAAGCTTGTTAACTAACTATATAAACAGGTGTGTTGTCTAATAATATTAGCCTTTGAGATAGTGGACCAAACCATCCAGCTCAGATAACAAAACTCCATCAAAATATTAGCCTATTCTGTAGAAAATAAAAGTTTTTTGTAAGCAGTCAGTTTTCATTATCTTGTTTTGTACAGCCGAATTTATGAAGCTGAAACATTGTTAGATCTTAATGATTACTCAAAAATTAGTGACCGAATATGTGCTCTCGTTTTCAGCATTAATCAAGCGATAGAATGTAGAAATGGAGTCAATTTGCACGAAAACGGAATTTATAGGTAACCGATATGAAGTTAACAATATTTTATAACTATGCGTTATTTAAAATTAAATTTTACCCAGAGGAAATCCAAACATTTCATACTACTTGAATGTGGTGGTGAACACATTTATTGGACCAAGTTAGATCAATATTGTAGACTCGTTTACCATTACCTCAAGTAAATACACCAGACCACTACACATTGTATATTAACAATATTCTTTTTGGTGAAGCATTTCATTAAATTATATGAATAAGACACAGATGAACTTCTAAGGTTCGCATATTTTACAAAACACTAATTAAACTACTCATTTAATGTGAAATTTCATAAATGTTGAAGGAATGAAAAAACAAGTATATTTTGAAAACTTTGTTGATTAAATCGAATTTTGAAGTATTTCGAACAAAATATGAAATATACGCTAATGAATAACTGAGGAATAACCAACATAAAGGTGTTTAGTGTTAGTTGCTGATCAGGTTCTGTTTACAAACTTTGTAACTAAACATATTAGAATGTGACCCAACATCGTAATGGACATTGTGCTGATGTTAAATGGTTGGAAGTAAATGACAAAGGATCGATTGGGTTCGATTGGTACTAAGGATTGGACAAAACAGAATACTATTTAAGATTGAAAATATTTTAGTCTTACGAAAAATTAGTAGTGACTTAAATAGTTAAAAATTCAACGTCAAGGAGAGCCTAGGAATATATGATATGTCGTTTTCTAATAACGGTGTTCAGACACATTGGTTGTCTCTTGAAGATGGATAAAATGTTAAGCTGTGGTTACAAAGAAAAGTAGATAAAATATGTAATTAAAAAACCCGATTCTAATGACTGCAAGAGAAACCCGATAAGTAGAATACCAAGATGAAATATCAACAAGTGGCATCGATCCTATTTTTAACACATAACAGAAATGAATATTTATCAGGACTTGGATGTATCAGATATGTTGTGAAGTAGTAAGTTAATAACAAAAGATGCATATTCAATGTCAATAAAATTTACTTCATTTCCTTTCCCCAGTTTGACCCAGAAAACATAAAGGTCATATAAGGGAACCTGGGTAACTAAGGCATCTAAAAAATGGCTTCTTTCGAAAGAAACTCACTTCAATATCCTCAGCTGTTTCACCCTTTAAAATATAACTGCGAGATAATTCGCCAGGTCCTCTGAATCGTATCGCCATTTTCAAATCATCCAACATTTCAACAATATGACAATCCAAAAATATAATACCCAATGGTTCCTTATCCAATTTCTTATCAAAATAAGCTAAAATATTACCACACAATATAAAGTAACGTTTTTTGTAAGATTTTTTTTGTTCAGAACGTTTTTTCCAAAGAAAGCCCACTTTTTCTTCTTTTTCATAAGTCAGAAAATTTGTAACTGTTTTAGGGTTGAAAATAGGCATCGACAAATGAGGTTAAATCACGGACTGTTTAAGTTGGTCAAAAATAACTCATGCAACATAACCTCTCACTAAAAATCCAACACTATTTTAAAGTAGAATTGAAGTTTTGAGGACTGGTTGTTCATTTAGAACCTTACGTACCTGTAGAGAAATAAAAAAAGATATTTTTAGAGAAAAGGCTGGGGTAAGGACACTGGAAAAATTACTGTATAAACAACTAGCTAATAACGATGAGACGTATTAAATTATTTGCTTTAAAAACAAATATAGTTTGATAATTAATGAGAGATACACGCAAAGCGTCATGACCTAAATATGTTTTGATTGGGTTAGAGATGCCACTAGAAAGTCTTCACCGAAGCGGAGCGGGCTATGACCTTGTAACTCAAGGTTGGGTTACAACTTGAGTACTTTTTAGATTTATATCTGAAACCATGAAGATTGAGAGACGTCTGAAAATGATCACTAGGAATCCACCTAGATAGTTTCTTCCACAATATTCATCTACTTATCTTGACTTTTGACTAGAGAATGAAATTTACAAATCAGCATCAAAATCCAGCTGGATAGTTTCTGAACCCTCACGCAGAGTGTGGCTCAACTTTGAGTATATAAAAGTGGATATGATGATCCACTACTAAATCGGTTCTGTCATATACGTTCCCGAACTGATGCCTTAGTAGTTAGATACACTAAGTAGCATAGTTTAGAACTGATAATAATAAGCTCTTTGATACTAACATTCATAAAATGTACATGTTTATGTACTGTTGAAAGTCACATCGTCTATGTGAAGGCTGGTGATACTACCCAACTGACCAGACTCAGATGAACCAGAGGTAAAATCCGCTGTCTGCAGAACAGAGTTGACGAGAGTGAAGACGCTCTATTTCTTAGTTGGTGAAAATAATAAGATTATACTTATGAACCCCTCGATAATTATTTTTCACTTGTAGTTTAAACAAACACCGCTTTGTAATTGTTTGTCTATGATAAACCATTAAGTTACATGAATTTTATGAATCTGCAGTTTGTTTTATGCAGGTAGTTTTCATTGAACACTAGGATAAAGTAACCATAACTGTTAAATTATACAGAAACATGTGGACTTATTTTATACGTACAACTTTATCGGTAGGTTATAATCTGTGATTATTTTAGCATGATAATAGTTTGAATGAGCTAAGAAATATGGGTCTGTTGTAGATAACGTCGATATAATGCATGCTAAAGATTTCGCAATTTAATAAATGATCAGTCGTTAGTAGAACTTTGATCAAGGAATGGTTGGGTAAATCCTCAAAACAGGTGTCTCTAGAATGTCGTACTACTTCTGAATAATTTTCATTCGTATTACTACTAGCTATTAGAACACTCAGTGTTAAATATAGTAGTGTGGTATTTATGTTGACGCATTAAGCACGTGATCCCAGTTAAGGATAAGCAGGAACCATGACACTATCAGTGAATGCAGCGGTGGCTGACGCTTGTGAATTTACTGGACAAGAAAGCATTGAAAACATAGTCTTTGAAAATGTACATATAACTCTACATTTTATTGATACTTACGTAAGTAGATCAATTTGTGATAAACCTCCAACATTACAGACCGAATGAATCGGGACAAAATGCAACAGTCTCAACGCCCGAAGTATTTTGTATTGATAGATACTAAAACCTTCAAAAGAGAATACGAATTTGTGAAAAATTCCGAGGACGGCATAACTTTTAAACATGTCTGAAAAATAAACTACTGTAATCTGATAGTGTAAAATTAAACAAAATCTTCGCTTTCATAAGCGCATGGGTAATTCATTTTAGAATAGTTAGAAACGTAATATACTAAGGAACTTACGTCTAGGAAACACCTACAGCTTAGTTACGCACTATTGAAAAGCAGCGCAACGAAATACAATTTCCAATATTTCCGGTGTTCCTTGTCATAATCCTGAAAATCAGACTGATAACTTTGTGTTTGGTTATTGTTGCATCGGTAGAGTTTTAATTACCTATGAACGTAAAATGGATGACAGCCTAGCCACTCGACAACATTCATCAAGTTTTACAGTTTATGGATATAAATGTCAAACTACCTGATAATTCCCGTTAACCGTGGCAATATAAAGAGTTGGTGTTGCTAAAAATCTATCAATATAACTTCTTTTGACAATATTTCAAGCCTCATATCAAAGGACTCCTAGAGGTTCACTTGGATCACGTCAGCCGGCAGCGCATACAACCTGCTGTTCTGTGCTTCTAACTTTTTGGTGCTAACCTCAAGATTTCTGTTTAGACTGATCTTAAGTAAGAACTTAGGAGAGTGTCTATGAGTGTTATCATAAGGTTTTACTTTTAGTTCCCGAACCGATTTCGAGCCTCACATTAAGATACTTTCCGGTGTACTTTTGTCCTTATGGAATGAGGAAGGAACACTATATTTTCATACTCTTAGTAAAGCCAATTAAAACTGTTGAACATAAGCGGAAGGTTTTGCCACTAAACTGGCCGGAGATGCTTCCCTGACGTTACTAGTCCAAGGTTTGCTCTAGAGGTACTTCGTTGCAGTTAGCGTAAGTCTTACGATCTTGGGGTATCAATATTCTTATATCTTGTTTGACTTTGAATATATCTAGAGAGGAGTTGCTTGAGATGCATGCATAGTCTGCAACACGTGTCAGATGAACTACTCTACACTTTGGAGTGTTGATTGTGATTCCGTTATTTTCCGCCGAAAAATGAAGTCGAATCAGATCCTTCTAGGCGAATCTCAGGAGCCAAAGATCATCACAGCCTCCTTCAAATCACAGAGAGAAGACATTACAATGAACATCATCCAATGCTATGAGCCCAAACAACTTTATCATTCTGATAAGAGACCGAAATGCAAAGATCAGAATGGACGAGATCGAATACGATGGCACGATGTAATGACATGGACTAAAGAAAGGAACGAAAATGGTGGCTTCAACTAACGGGTTATATGCGGTATCATATTCCCACAAAAACGCATACACAAAGCCACATGTACTTCACTGGATAACACCAAGAAGAATAGAATCGACCATATCTGCATGCAAAAAATGTTCAGAAGGACGATGGAGGACATGGAAACCAGGAAAAGAGCGGCTATAACCTCAGATCATCATATACTGGTCAGTACGATGAAACTAAAACTCAAGAAGCACTGGAAAACAGGGCTGACAACATCACAAAAGTTTAATATAATTTTTCTCCGGGATACTGACAAACTCAACAAATTCAACATAGCCCTCAGCAACATTTTACAGGCCTTTCATGATCTACTCAATGGAGAGGGAACTACTATGGAGAACAACTGAAAAGGGATAAAAGAGGCAATCATTTCAACATGTCATGAAGTTCTGGGCCACAAGAAGCACCACAACAAGGAATAGATCACAGTTGGTAAACTGGACAAAATTGTAGAAAGGGGGGACAAGAAGGCAGCAATCAATATCAGCCGAACAAGAGCAAGAAAAGCCAAGGCACAGGCCGAATTCATAGAAGTAAACAAGCAAGTGAAGAGGAGCATCAAAACCGACAAACGTAAATATGTGGAAGATTTAGCAGTGATGGCGGAAAAGGCTGCAAGAGAGGGAAACATGAGACAACTATATGATACAACAAAGAAACTTGCTGGAAATTACCGCAAACCAGAAAGACCAGTGAAAAGCAAGGAAGGCAAAGTAATCACCGATATTGAAGAACAACGAAACAGGTGGGCAGAACACTTCAAAGAACTCTTAAATCGACTAGCTCCACTGAACCCACCCAACATCGAAGCAGCACCCACAGACCTTCCAATCGATATTGGCCCACCAACAATTGAAGAGATCAGCATGGCCATTAGACAAATCAAGAGTGGCAAAGCAGCGGGACCAGACAACATCCCGGCGGAGGCACTGAAAGCAAATATAGCAGCAACTGCCAAGATACTCCACATCCTCTTCAGTAAGATTTGGGACGAAGAACAAGTACCAACAGACTGGAAAGAAGGACTTCTGATCAAGATACCAAAGAAAGGCGATCTCAGGAAGTATGTAGACTAAAGAGACATCACTGTCCTCTCAATACTAGGAAAAGTCTTCTACAGGCTATTGTTAAACAGAATGAAGGACTCCATAGACGCCAAACTTCGAGATCAACAAGCTGGATTTCGTAAGGATCAATCGTGCACCGACCAAATCGCATCTCTACAGGTCATTGTAGAACAATCTATTGAATGGAGGTGGATAGAATATGCATTGAGGAAAGCACGCAACTGAGCCACAAGACAAGCCCGAACATGGATCCTCAAAGCCAAAAGAAAAGAGGAAGACCAAAGAATATATTACGCCCAGAAGTGAAGACGGATGTGAGAAAAATGAACAAGAGTTGGATGTAACTAGAAAGGAATGCCCAAGACAGCGTGAGTTAGGCAATGCTGATCGGTGGCCTTTTGTTAATTAGGAATAAGAGGCATGTGTAAGTAAAGTAAGTTAGGACACAAGTGATGTGATCCTCAGGTGACATATCCGGTCGAATACGGTATTCAAACAAACAGGTATACGTTATTCAGTATGACGATTTTCCTCGTAACTTCCGAGTGATAACTTGAGGATCTTCAACCTGACATCACCTACAACCTACTTAACGAGATAAACATGAGAAAAATTAACGGAAATTGGATATAACTAGGAAGGAATGTCCAGGACAGAGCAGGTTAGAGAGTGCTCGTCGGCGGTCTATGCCTAACTGAGAGTAACAGGTATATGTAAGAAAGTAAGTCAGAAAATCCTTCTAAAGTGACAGCTTATAATTGTACCTGGAAACTTATTTACTTACTTACGTGTTCATGAAGAGCATCTTGAATATTGTAACTTACTTACTTACTAACGCCTGTTACTCCCAATGGAGCATAGGCCGCCGACCAGCTTTCTCCAACCCACTCTGTCCTGGGCCTTCTTCTCTAGTTCTTTCCAGTTCTTGTTCATTCTCCTCATGTCTGTCTCTATTTCTCGGCGTAATGTGTTCTTTGGTCTTCCTCTTCTCCTTCGACCTTCAGGATTCCATGTGAGGGCTTGTCTTGTGACACAATTGGGTGATTTCCTCAGAGTGTGCTCAATCCACTTCCAGCGCTTTTTCCTGATTTCTTCCTCCACTGGAATCTGGTTTGTTGTCTCCCACAGTAACTTGTTGCTGATAGTGTCTGGCCATCGGATCCGAAGTATCTTTCGTAGACAACTGTTAAAATAAAACTTGTATCTTCTGGATAATGGCTTTCGTAGTTCTCCACGTCTCCGCCCCATACAGTAGAACTGTCTTGACATTTGTATTGAAAATTCTAGTCTTGGTGTTGGTTGACAATTGTTTTGAGTTCCAGATGTTTTTCAGTTGCAGATATGCTGCTCTTGCTTTACCGATCCGCGCCCTCACATCTGCATCTGATCCACCGTGTTCATCAATGATGTTGCCCAGATATGTAAAGGTTTCCACATCCTCCAAAGCTTCTCCGTCAAGTGTAATTTTATTGGTGCATATTGTATTGTGTCGGAGAGTCTTGCTTTTCCCTTTATTTATAATGATAATAATAATAATTTATTCTCAAATAACAGATTGTTACATGAGGCATGCCGGTTTACAGGCAAGATCAAATTGTTAAAGAAGTTACAATTTTCACTGTTGAAAATTACTCAGCTGGGTTGATGTTTCATAAGATATGAACGTAAATGGATTTCATAAGAAACATATCGATATCACACTTGGTGCACTTTATGGAAGTAGCGTTGCAACATACAACTGATGGTCGAGAATAGATACATGCGAAGTTGGGGGCTTTTAGAAGTTTCGAACTTATATCCCTCCGGAATATCTGAGGCTTTAGTAACGGTGTAGGACGAAGTCACCCGTGCCATATCTGTTTTCGGTGGAGTATCTGCAGGAGGCTGAAAAAGGTGTAAGAAAAAGGAAGGACGAAAAGCAGAGCACACAATATTCATGGAGGAATAGTTAATGTATAACCTTTTAGTCTATTTGTCTGTTACTGAAGTATTAATTAGGTAAGAACATAATAATGTGTGAAAGAAAAATAAATGTGGGCAAGGTATGAGTGGGTAAGGGACTGTATAAATGAAGGTAGTTCAGAAGGAAGTATGGAATTGTGTAATTATAAAATAAAATAAAGTGCTGAAAATAGTATTCCGATACAAATGTCTGTCTCCCTTTTTTTTCGAATCTGTTTGAACTCTCTTTTTTGTTTTTGGATTTTATAGGGTATAGAGTGGGCTTCGTTTTTAGCCAATTGTCTAGTTTGCTTGTAATAGGATTACTCGGTAGGAAGTGGAACCAATTTAGCTTTTTTAACATGATCTAAAGTGGCATTTTGCATTAATAATTTCGCATCAATACCGTTGGTTCGTGACATCCCACTAGACATAAGGAGCCGTAATTAATATGTTCTGCCCCACAGACACGGGTGGATTGAAGTTATCTCCCCACCATCATATTTGCTGGTCAGTAACGCCACCCTCCCTCCTTTTATGATGTTAGGCTCTCTTACGTTTGTGGTCAGTATGAATATTGCTTTAATCAAGGACCATAGTTGGAATACACTGTCTCTACAAGTTCCATGTTACAAGCGAATCAGATGGTAATAGCATTTGTGTTATGGGTTAGATATCCATTTAATATATCGTACTACTATGAAGATAACTAATGGTGAAGGTTATAAGAGACATGTAAGATTATATGTGGTTATGAGATGGTAAGGACTAATAGCAAACCAGAGGATATGAAAGAGAATATTGTAAAATTTTCAGGGTACGGAAAACAAAACATTGAACAACTCACAAGAATTTAGGACATTTGAGCTTCTTTTGATCGGCCTTAGTTGGTCAGCATCCATAAGATTAGTGAGTTATCTGTCTACTTGTAATAAGAAAAATAAAAGGACATGACACTTAGAACGAT